AAGGGAAGGTTTAAGAGAAGGAGGAGTGGCAGCAATCCATTCCTGTATCTCCCAAGAGTTAGGAAAAGGCCAGTTCCAAGAATCATTTGAGATAATTGAACTAACCTTAGAATTGTCAGGAAGGTTGGTATCATACAAAATTCTAGGACCATACCGAAGCAAAAGCGAACCAAAGGGGTGCCAGTTATCATGCCAGAGGAACACATTTTCACCATTACCAAGTTTGAATTTGATACTAGGGAAGATTAAATCCCTAAGCGATAAAAATTTCCTCCAAACCCAGGAAGGATCACTGGGCATCTTAATACCCCAAAAACTCTTACCCTTAAGTAAGTAGGACTTAACCCATTGACACCACATAGAACATTCCCCACCCGAAAACAGATACCAAACATGTTTGGCTATAGCCGCTCTATTCCAAACCTCCATATCCTTAAAACCAAGCCCACCCTCATTTTTTTTTTTGCAAACATGCTTCCAAGCAATTTTAGCACTATGCTTTTTCAGCTCCGTCCCAGACCAAAGGAAAGATCTGAGCAGAGTTTCAATGTCGCGGATAACCCTCTTAGGGAGAATAAAAATAGAGGACCAATAAACTTGCATCGAGAAGAGAATAGACTGGATGAGTTGGGCTCTACCAGCATAAGATAGCAATTTATTGGTCCAGCTTTTAATCCTTTTAGTCATCCTATCAACCAAGATTTGGCAATCAGACGCTCTAAGCTTAGTGGTGATCAAAGGCACACCCAAATATTTCACAGGGAGGGAGCCCTCAGATCGTAAGGTCATCCGCAAAACACAAATTAACAATTTTAGTCTTCTCACATCTCCAATGGAACTTAAAAAGGGGGTTTCTAGATTTTTCAGCAAGAATTCTAGCCAAAACCTCCATAGCCAGCACAAAAAGATACGGGGACATAGGGTCACCTTGCCTAAGGCCCCTAGCCCCTTTAAAGTACCCATAAAGACTACCATTGATGCAAATAGAGAAAGAAGGACTAGTCATACAAGCATTGATCCAATTTATCATGCAAGGAGGAAAGTCCATAGCAATGAGGATATCAATAATAAACTCCCATCTCACAGTATCATAGGCTTTCATGATGTCCACTTTCATAGCACACTTCGGAATTTTGGAACTCCGGTGATAACCCCTTATAATCTCTTGGGACAGAAAGATGTTGTCCGAGATTCTTCTACCCTGAACAAAAGCAGATTGCACAGGATCAATAAGATCAGGAAGCACCAATTTGACTCTGTTGGCTATTATCTTGGCAATGCATTTATAGATGGTGTTGCAGCAAGAAATAGGCCTATAGTCACCAACGTTCATAGGATTAGGAATTTTGGGAATAAGAGCAATGATGGTGCTATTGATCTCCGAGAGGAGTTTACCAGAGTCAAAAAATGACTTAATGGCAAGGGTAACCTCCTTCCCAACAATATCCCACGAGCTTTTGAAGAAACCAGCTGAATACCCATCAGGGCCAGGAGCTTTATTGGCTTTGAGAGACCAAAAAACCTCCTTGATTTCAGCATCCGAAATAGGTTTAGCCAAAAGAGCCGATTGAGAATTGGAAACCTTTTTATTCACCAACGATTTAATGCGCTCAAGACCATTATACTCCCCCAAGATAGGGGTACCAAACAGCTTGGTATAGAACTGGACAAAAGTATCATGAATATCAGTTATCTTAGTGGACCTAGTACCATCTTCCATAACCACACTCATGATTTTACCTCTATTAATATTACTCTTAACAGATCTAAAAAAGAAGCTGCTATTCCTATCCCCTAGACCAAGCCATTGGACTCTGGATTTTTGAAGAGCAAGACACTCTTCCAAATTGCTAAGATCAATGTATCTTTTCAACTCCTCTCTCTCCTTAGATTGAAGCTCACAGTTCAAAGGATCCTTATCGAGCTTAATTTGAGCAAGATCCAAACTAGGCTTAGAGATGAGGACACGAGTGGACAGATCACTGAAATCTTTTTTATTAAGAAGCTTAAGGCTGGCTTTGAGTTGTCTTAACTTCTGACAAACTCTGAACATAGGGACACCATGAATATATTGAGACCAGGTATTTGAAACAGTGCTAAGAAAATCTGGGTGTTGGGACCAGAAGTCAAAATATTTGAATGGTTTCTTAAAGGAGCTACTGTTAACACTGATGTTGACCACAACAGATGAGTGATCAGAAATACCAGCCGGGAGAAAAGTGGCCGTAGACTCAGGAAACTTATCCAGCCAGGCCTCATTAACCAGAACTCTGTCAATCTTGGTCGCTATGAAAGCTCCCTCGCTCCTTTTATTAGCCCATGTGAATTGGCATCCACCATAAGATAGATCAGCCAATTCAGATGCGTTAATATAAGTATTAAACTCCTCATTTTCAGAAGTCCAGGAAGGAGAACCCCCAATTTTTTCCTGTTGGTATCTTATAGCATTAAAATCACCCAAGAAAATACAGGGAATTTTGGACTTAGCACGGGAGATGTTAAACATTGTATCAAAAAATACTTTCCTCAAAGTGTGCTTGTTTGCAGCATAGACAAAAACAGCAAAAAAAATTTCATTTGTAGCCAAGTCAAGAATTTTACACAAAATATGCTGATTTGACATGGAAATCAGTTGAAGATCACAAAAATCATTGTTCCAGCACACCCAGACTCTCCCAGTTTCAGTTGGTTGTGAATTGGAGAGCATAGACCAGTTACCAAAACATTTTCCACAAATTTTCCTCTCATTGATTTGCTTTATTTTAGTTTCCAAAACTCCTATGACATGAACAATTTCTTTAGACACAAAATTCTTAACTTCTTTTTGTTTGGAGGGATCATTCAATCCTCTCACATTCCAAGAAGCAATTTTAACAGTCATTGGGATACAAAAAAGAGAGGTGACAAAAGACAACCACAACCAACTGAAACTGGTTACTTCTTCTTCTTCCTCTGGCTGCTGCTGCCTTTGCCAAAGGACTTGTTCTTCATATGTTGGTTTACCTGAGCTACAGTAGGTGACTTCTTTACCTCCTTCAGAGCTGACTCTATCATTTCAGCAGCATTAGGTATAACCAGCTCTGTAAGTTCGAAAAGCTTCTTTTGAAATATATCCACATCACTGCTGTCAGAGCTTACTTCTTCCACAGAGGAACTATTCCCAGCCGGATCCTCCTGTATCACTTGAGTACGAACTGAATCTGCCAGAGGCTCTACAACTGAAGTAGGTATTGGCTCCGTATCTGTTTCAGGGGACTCCACCACTTCAGGTATAGTCTCTAACTCAGGATCCCCCACTTTCCTTTTACCCTTCGCTTGAACAGTGGTCCAACCTTCTTCCTGAGGGTTAACAGTCTCTTCGGTTACCTTTTGCAAGGAAATCAACTGGGCCACTTGTTTGGAAACACACTTCTCAGTACTGTGTCCAAAGATCTGACAGTGTTGACAAACAGAAGGCAGTCCCTGATATTCCGCTTTGATCAAGACAGCATCATCACCACACCTGATTTGGAAGTAAGAGAGCAACTTTGATGTAGCTTCCACACAGATTCTAGCAAAGGCCACTCTACTACCTCGGGCCGTAAGCTGGTCCATAAAGAGGGGGTTGCCAATTGCACTAGCAATCCTGCTTAAGCCATCAGGATCCCAGTATTCCAGAGGGACATTGAAGAATTTCACCCAAATTGGGATTTTAGTGGATTTTTCCTTGGCAAGTTTCATCATTCTCTTCCACTGTTTCAAGATGAGGAGGTAACCCCCAATATACCATGGGCCTCCCTCTAGAACGTCTCTACAGCATTCAGGGGTATCAAATATGAAGAACATGAAGCCATCCCCATTTGTGAGAACTTCCTTAAGGCCCTTAGCCTTCCACAACCCAAATGCACTATTCCGAAGATAATTATACCCAACTCCTTTATCAATAAAGTAGCCAACGAGACAGGAATCCCATTTCTCCAAAGGATCAGGTCTACCTGGCATTTCTACCACAATACTATCTTCTACAGCAGTTGGAGGGACATACCTGAGCTTGATGTTTGATCGAGTAGATACAGCAGTAACATTGGCCCATGATCGTTGGTCCATTTGCTCTACTGATCTGCTACCACTAGAGCCCCCGCGACCTCCTCTCCCACCCCGATAACTGCTTCCCCCCCTACCACCTCCCCCATGAGTAGACTCACCAAGAGGAATCTGGATGTCTGAAATAGGAGTCATATTAGGATCACTCAGAGTGTTCTTGGTTCCCCCCCTATTACGCGCGATCTCCAGGCTATCGGGGAGATTCAGGAAACGATTTTGCTCTTCCTCGACGATTTCAGACCAACTCGTACCAATCTCATTACCAATCGGCGTAGATGGTTCCTGACCAAGACCTGGGAGCAACGGAGCCTTCATTTTAACCAAACTCTGCACAGCATCCTTAGATCCGTCATCGATTAGGGATTTAGAAAGATCTGAACCCACTAGTTCCGAGATCGGAGCCGAAACACCCATTTCTTCAGAACGATTCGCCTCAACATTTACTACCACTACCTGGTTATGAGCCTCCACACTGGCCAGATCCTCCATCGGAGTACCGACGCAGCGATCTACGGTTGAAACACCCTCGCCACGGGGTGTAGAGAAATTCGATTCAGAAGCCATGAAGTCGTCACACAAAGTCGTAAAACGATTTTTAGTAAACCCTAGATTCCGATCGACTAGACCAGATATCTTTACAGACTCACCCTTAGCAATTTCCCCCACCTTTCTCTCATTAATGGTAGCATTTACTCCAGACATCGGCAATCAATGAGATATTGAACCCTAGAAAACCAGAGTTTTCTAGAGAGATGTCAGAGCTTCTCTCACTAACCCATTTCTAGAGTCATAATTCTATTAGAAAAAACATCTTCCCTATTATCAAGTTTAAAATTGGTAATGGGGAGAAGGTGTTTCTGTGGTTTGACAATTGGCATCCTTTGGGTTCTTTATGGGACAGATTTGGGCATAGGATTATGTACGACACGGGTCTTTCTTTCGAGTCTAAAGTTAGTGCTGTCATATCTAATAATGATTGGAGATGGCCTATTGACAACTCTTGGGAGATCAAGGAGTGGATCTCTTCCACTCCTCTTGAGCTTAAACCTAATAATGATATCCAGGATTGTCCTATCTGGAACCTGACTGTGGATGGGGATTTTACCATACAATCCGCGTGGAATTGTTGGAGGGATAAGGGTACTAAAGTGCCTTGGACTAATCTTGTTTGGGGGCATCCGTCCATTCCTAGGGTCAGCTTTGTAGTCTGGATGGCTATTCACGAGAGATTAAACACGGGGGATAGGTTACTTCTATTCGGCCTTGTCCCTAATTCTATCTGCCCCCTCTGTCAAGGTCTTGAGGAGAATCACTCCCATCTGTTCTTCAGGTGTGTGTATTCTTCTAGGATCTGGGGTGCCATTCAGGTTAAGTGTAACATTAGCTGGCCCCAATTAACCTGGCTGGAGTACGTGGTCTATGCTACGAAGTCCACCAGAGGCAAAGCCCTGAAGTCTTCTCTTACTAAACTATCCTTCCTTTGCACTGTCTATCAGATCTGGATTGAAAGGAATAGAAGGATTTTTAGCAAGGAGTTTAAACCTGAAAAAATTGTGACTAACCTTATTGTCCAGATGGTTAGAGGTAGGATGCTTTCTATGTATAATCTGGCTAACTCTGCAGGTGATGATTGGTATCTATCTCAATGGAATCTACCTGCAACAATTATGAAGCAGCCCCAGGACAACAATGCTGGGAGTGTACTGAGCGGGGACAATTTACCTATATTGAGGGTTGAGTGAGGGGAGCATATATTGAGGGATTTCTAATTGGTTACTCTTTTGCAGATTTATGTCATGGATGCTTGTTCCAATTTGATGATGTCTTCATACTCTCTAACGTGTTCGGCTAAAGTCATATGTGGGTCGAGTGGAGTGAGCCAGAATAATGTCACTTTATCTTGTGGGTTGAGAGATGTGAGGCTACTCACCATCATATTTCTAACTGTTATTCTGTATACTAACTTTTATGTGCAGGTTGAGGAAGCGCCCTTATACAGCAAATCAGTTGAGATAATGAGTGAGTTTGAGAGATGTGGGCCTAGTGAAGAGAGGACATATACTGTGTGGAGTGTTGTTATTAGATGTGGGCCGAGTGATGGGAGGTCTCATATTCCCAGATTTATTTTCCTCCTTCTCTATGATGTCTCATGTAATATTGGCACTTACTATCTAGTTCTCTTTGGCAGGTGAAATATAAAACTGTCTGGTGGGTTTATTACTGGCAGTCTCCTTTGTACTGTTATTGGGACTGTTATTGGACTCCGGCTGCAAGTTGGTTGATGTTGGGGAAGGCTCTTGGGCGTTGGCAACAAGATGTGCCTGCTATCGATTTTAGTGTTGACTGGTGGTGTGGAGGTGGCTGCAACCTGCGCCCCTCGGGGAAGCTTTATGCTGTGTGGAGATGCTTTTCGGTGATGGCAGCACGGTGCGCCTTACCTTGGCACTTCAGTGGGTTCATAAGCTATTTTAAATTCTGCTTGTATATATATCTGTATGGTGGGACTTTTATTATTGTGTATTGTAACGTTGTCCCTTTTTTTTTGGGTTCTTTGTTTACTAGATCTGGATGTGTTTAAGCCTAAGATAAGGGCTGTTTTTTTTGGTATTCACGGTGATCTTTGTATTATCTCAGTTCGGTGCTTCTTTGTAACGGTGTAGATCTTGTGCAAGCTCCATATCTGCTGTGGGATATGGTTCTTGAACAAGTCTTTTGTGCTTAGTTGCTCTGGCTGTTTAGAGTTCCTTGTTTTTTTTTTTGTGGTTGGCTTGCCTTTCTGGTGCCAATTGTCTGTTTGGTCGTTGTCGTTGTAGTTTGGGGTAGGGCCTAGGGTATGCCCCTTGTAATCGTGTAAATTTTCTTGTTTTATTTATTTCTTACTTACCCAAAAAAAAATGTGCATTGGTGCGCCTAGGACACCGTGTTTGCCATCTGCTATTCCTGAGCGGTTTGCCAGAGGCTATGTGCCATAAGGCTTACCGATTACGGGCTCTGCCAGTATGGGAACACAAACCCCGGTTTTACCGGGCCACCCTTTTGACCATTCGACCTAGTGCATATTCGGAATCCATAGTGACCATTCCAAGCTAGGACAGGTTGCTTACCCGATTTAGGCTGTCTGAAACCGCTGCATGCGTAGTGAAACCCTAGCTCCTGACAAAATAGGACAGGGAATCCCTACCCCAACATAGGGGTGTTTTGGCTCTCACTTGCTTGCTATGTGCTTTTAGGGTGTGTCCCTACAGGAATGCATGTAACAGTTTGCAAGTCTGGATATCAGGCCTGTGGGCATCAGTATCTGGGAATTAGTTTTACCTGAGGGTATCAGTTCACTGGCAGAATTTTTGGATAGAACTCAGTAGAGAGCACAGTTATTCGGCTGCTCATATCTATTTTGGTGAAATCAGGCTGAGATGCTGTATGTTTTCTCTTTTGCTAGGGTAGTCTTGGAACCATAGCTTTAGAAGGCTCCGATATCCCTCGAGGTTCATCGGACTTGTGCTGATAAACTTTGTCAAGTCAGAGATTCAGTTCAAGGGCAAATCAGTGTTCCTCCGCCAGAGGCAGGGTAAAAGGGGCCAGTTAGGCACAAATCATCGGTTCAGCAGTTACCAGATCAGTGGCCCTTATCCACCCCACCAGTGAACAATCAAGCTAAGGCCTCAGTTTCTATCACAGAGATAAATATACCAGTCAGTCAGCCGGAACAGCAGAACATGGCAGGGATGGAGGAAATGATGCGTCAACTCCAAGAAAGTATGAAACTCATGCAGCAAGACGCTGCCCGCCAGACGGAATTTGCCAAACAGCAAGCTGCGATCATGGCTCAACAAGCAGAGTTAATTACCTGGCTACAGCACCAAACCGAAGCATCTGCTTCGCACCAAGCCCCTTCTCCACGAGGAGTCCCAGCACCCGAGGAGGCACCAAATGGCCAGGGAGATACGGACATTCCGACAGGACTGGCTCCGCTCCCAATCCTACCCCAATTACCCAAAACACCCACCAACCTGCCGGATTCTCCCTTTGAGTCCGAGGTGGACCCCACAGCATTGAAGGTGAGCAAGCTTGAAAAACTGTTCAAGAAATCTCAGGGCGTCAAGTCCATCCTGGACATTAAGGATGGATATACCGATGCGGTTGTGACGCTGCCAGACCGCTTTAAAATGCCACATATCGACCGCTTTGGCGGATCTGGGGATCCCTGGTACATCTCCGGTTGTTCTCAGATATACTATGACCGATGGGCCTCACTAGACCGCAGAAGCTTTCATTGTTCGGCCGGACCCTGTCAGGTGTGGCCGCTATCTGGTATGCAAAATTAGAAGACAATGTCAAACGGAACTGGGATGAGATGGCCGAGGCCTTCGTTGCGCAGTACTCCTATAACACGCAAATCGAGGTCACAACCCGTGACCTTGAAACAACAAGGCAAGAGCCTAAGGAGGGTTTTTCTGATTTCGTAGCCCACTGGAGGGCCAAGGCCTCAATGATGACCCTTAGGCCCACTGACAAAGATCAAATTCGGATGATTGTACGCAATCTTTAGCGCAAGCTTATGCAGAAAATGATCGTTCTCCCTTTCCCCACCTTTTTAGACTTACGTGAGATGAGAGTACAGATCGAGGACGTTATGAAGCAGGGCCTTCTTGACCAGGAGAAAGAGCAGCCCAGGAGGGCATTTTCCCGTAGTTCAAATGCGACCACCAGTGGTGATGCAGCTGCAAGATCTTCTGAAGTGGGCATGGTTACCACCTCCGCATCAAAAACAGCTACCCCATTCACCGGTGCATCCGGAAGTAGCTCACAAGAAACCAAATATCCACCTCGAGTCAAGAGGGTTTTTACCCCACTTCATATGCCTTTGTCAAAGGCTCTAGAGGTCTTACTCCGGAAAGGACATTTGAAACTGTTGGAACAACGGCCCCTACCCGATCCTATCCCTGCAAAGCATGACCAGACTAAATACTGTGCCTACCATCAACAAACCGGTCATGACACCGACAGTTGCTTTCGCCTGCGCCATGATTTACAAGATCTGTTTGACAACGGGGTCATTGCCGCACTAGGTCCTGCAAAGTCTATCGACACTTGATCAGTGAACTTGCGGGGGATAATGTGATTATGTGATCGGGGGATGAACCAGCTGCGGCTGGCACTCAGTTTACTTCAAATGTGGTGGCGTGTGGCACGCACTGTTTTGAGCATTTGTGAATACTGGTTTTTGTAGCTTCTGACTTGGGTGTTGAGTCAGTTCTGTGGTTTTGTTTTGAGTCTGTCTCTTTGTTCTGAGTCGGTCTTTTGATTAACGGTCTTTCTTGTTGTATCGAGTCAGTCCTGTTTTGTTAGAGTCAGGTGATTCCGGGGGTGTTTCTTCGGATATCACTATTTTGTTTTGTGTTTGTCCTTTTGTTTTCTTTTGAGTCTGTTTCTGCCGGGGAGCCAGTTGTGCCAACAGATTTGAATAAAACAGCAGTGATTTTCACACTCTTGTGTTTGCTTCTGCCTTGCGCCAGTTGTGCCAGAAAGTTTGAATGAAACGACAGTGCATTCCACCTGCTCTCTTGTGCCTTGAAATTATTGCATTGACCTAAGTTTTTCAAAACTTTTTTTTGAACACTGCGGTGAAAACGAAGAGAAAGGAATTCCTCGGGTTTTGCAAAAATTTGATCAATTGAGAGAAAGAGAGGCGTGCTAAGCCCTTAATGAGTGAAATCATGCTTGTTAATGTGAGTACTGGGAACAATCCTGGCTCGATCCAGATTGGTTCTACACTGTCTTCGGCGCGAGCGACTGGTCGTTTTCTTAAAAGATTTCAAAAAAATTTTTTGCGCGGTCCTGCGAAGACCTATGTGGAATCTCTCTTGAGATTGTGCAGCCTAGGATTGCTCTCAATCTCGAGACTCGACCCCTTGCTTTCGAACCTTGAACTTGGATTCAGAATGTTCAACGGTCAACTACAATGTAAGGCCTATGTGGCTGGATCAAAAGCAGCCCGTGAAGTAGCGGGGACAAAGTCCAATCAAGAAGCTTGCGAAGCTAGATCAGAAGCACCCCTCGAACTAGGGGAAAAAGAATTTCAAATGTGCTCGAAGAGTCAAAGATGAAGATCAGCGAGAATGCCAAATCCCAGAAGGGAGAAAAGAAGAAAGTATTGGTGAAGGACAACCAAGTTCCTATCCACAACACTAGGGGCAAATTCAGCCCCCCATTGGATGGACTCCTACATCATCAGCAAACAACATCCATTCTCTTGGATTCGGATGGCTTCGAGATCTCAAACCATTCCATATGGACAAAAGCTACACTTTTACCCTTGAGAGGCTCTCTGGTCCGAAAACCCGGAAGGGCGACCTAGGCAAAAGTTAGAGCAAGAAAGAGAAAAAAAAGAACAAAAAGAAAAAGAAAAAAAAAGAAAAATGCAAAAAATGAAGAAAATAAAAAGAAAAGATAAAAAAGAAAAAGTATAGAAGAAAATGAAAAGGAATGAAAAGAAAAGAAGAACAAAGCTCGCAAGGTTGAAAACCCAGAAAGGGCGGCCTTGGCAAAAGTTAGAGCGTAAAAGGAGAGGTTAAATACACGAGTGTACCTTAACCCCGAACTACGTAAGGCTTGATTCCCATCTTTGGGATACGTAGGCAACTTCATTCTGAAGTCCAGCCGTAAAACACTTCAAATTCGACTGTGTCCATGTGATGGTTCTGGTCATCTTTGTCTTCTCTGTATCCGAGAATTTGGTTGTAATTGTCATTGTAAGGACTGGTTGCCACATGTTGCGGCGCTATTCAGACTAGGGGCAACTTTCCGTTGCCGTCCAGTGCGCTGCAGTGCCGTTCAAACAAGGGGCAACTTTCCGTTGCCATGCAGCTCCCCTTAAGCAAGGGGCAATTTTCCTTCGAATCTGAGGTTGTGCATCTCGAGAGTGGGTTCTATGCTCGTTAAGCAGTGGTTGTTTGCAAAAATAATTTTTGAGAATTTTTACTAAGGTTGACTGATTTTCTCTCGAAAACTATTCCATTTTTCCAAACCTGGCCCTTTTTCTTGGACCCAAAAAAGGAAAATTTTCAGTGCTCATAAACTAACTTGCATGATTTTAAATCAGAAAATCAAACAAGCGTGTTAATCTAACTCTCATTTTGGTTAAAATTGTTTTAGTAGAAAACCAAACCAAAAAAAAGGGTCAAAACGATGAACTAGGGGCACAGTTTGAGTCAGGTGTTCTGTATTTTCCCCTTTATCAACGCATTTGCCAGAAAGGGCACCATACTTGCCAGAAAGGGGCACAACGGAAGCTAACCGCAAAAAGGGCAGAAAGCTCTCACATCCTCCAAGCAACGAGGTATCAAGCCAAGTGCGAAGCACAAACGGGAATGGTTCGAGATATTCCACTCCTTTGTTTGGACACATCTGATTACATCCAAACCCCTCTGCGGAGTATATCGTCAACCGATGTCAGCTGCAGATTTGCTACACACCCAATTGTAGCACAGCCCCTCTGTGGAAGAAACTCACTGTTATGAACAAGAAGAAGAATCTAGCAGAATGCTATGGGCAAGAGCCCACAACTTTCTGTTTTTCCATCAACCACCCAGGGGAGGGACAAAAAAATGAGAGATTGAAAAATAGAGAGATGTGAGCTGAGAGAAAAAGTAAGAAAATGGCTTTTTCAGAAAAACAGAGCCTGAGGGCCGAGGATGTGAGAATCACAAATTAAAAAGGGTG